AGAATCACTGAGTTGGAAAAAGGATCACCTCCTTGTGTCAGTATTTTGTTGAACCACCTTTTGCTTTAATTACAGCCTTTAGTCTGTTGGGATATGTCTCTGTCTCTACTAACTTTGCACATCTAGACTTTGCAATATTTGGCCACTCTTCTTTGCAGAACTGCTCGAGTTCAGTTCAATTTTTGTCTCTACTAACTTTGCACATCTAGACTTTGCAATATTTGGCCAGTCTTCTTTGCAGAACTGCTCGAGTTCAGTTCAATTTGATGCTGACCATTTTTCTTAATAATAGACTTCACTGTGCTTCTAGGCATTGATAAAGCATTTGACATTTTTTTTGTATCCATCTCCTGACTTGTGCCTGTTTACAACTTTATCCCGGAAATCTTCTGACTGTGCCTTGCCACCCATACCTGATTGTTTGCTTCAGGTGCACTTCTGAGGACTGAAATGCTCCAGGAAAGCTCTTTTCATGCTGAGCTAATCAAAATGATCACAGCTGAAAGTCAAATGGTTTTGTGTGCCATTGAGAAGGTGATTAGCTACACCTGATTGAGTTTACAAGTCATTTTTAGGAGGGGGTGATCCTTTTTTTTTTCCTGACAAGGTGGTGTTATATCTTTCACTTGGATGTTATAAGTTGCACTGAGTAAATACAGCTGGATAAAACAAAAACTTTGTCCATCTTCATTTCAGGCTGCAAAGCAACAAAATGTGATTATTTTAAAGGGGGTGATTATTTTCTATACCCACTGTATATGATATTTTGTGATCCGTATATGTAACAAAATGTGTTGCTCCATCAATGTTCAATAATAAGATATAATATATAATATAAAATATATGTATTTTCTGAAATCATACACTGTGGAGGCTCATTTTCCTTAAGGTGTGCCTTTAGCCACATTGTACACTATATAATTTTTGCCTTTGGTTTTCTCTTCTATCCCCAGATGAAAATGGTTATAGCACTGGTGGTTGTCATCCTTCTCCTCATCATAATCAGTAAGTCCACTCCAGACACACATTTTAACCTCAAGAATTTAACCATATAAAGGGGGAAAATTTAGATCGGTCAGTACAATCCATTTGGTTTCATGCTGAGGCTGGGGGCATTTGATTTTCTCCTGATTTTGCAAACTTCTTTTCCCTCTTTTTTTTTTGTTTTGTTTTTGCAGTTCCTGTGATCTTGCGGTATCGCTAGTCTCTGGCAGGGAGGTTAGAGGCATGATGTACTCTTCCTCCCTCCTCTCTCTCGTCTTTCTGCTGTCATTCCTCCGTACCAGAGGGGGCGCTGCATAGGGTTGGGCTGCCCACTGTATTTGCCTATTTTGGCAGAGTCTGGAAACATAACAAACGGGCAGAGTTTACAACACTGGTGCAGACCAATCTCTTGTATGCGCACAAACACAATGGTTATTTTGTTGTACATGCATTCAGTAAGACTAAAGAAAATTAAAGATTTACTATACACAATGAAACATGGAGAAAAAAATGTTAGCCCTGCATTCCAGTGGTATTTCGATATACCTGTTTATAGTTAATTAGACGTTAGAGCCGTTCCGCTTACACCATAATACACACGTTTATCAATTAAACTGGATCCATTTCCCACAAAGGTAGGTCTAGAATACGGTCTTCTCAGGTGGGTGGGGCCAAACGGGAAACCTGATGATGTCACACTGTACCATGGCTGTGATGTCATCATCTGTATAACTCCTGTAAGTTTTAACATGGGCAAAACATTGGGTATAATTCAAGTTAGTCTGAAAGGCAACAAGTAATGCTACTTAATATTTGCTGCTATTGCTGTAATGTTGTTTGCATATTTGGCAACTAAGTTTTAATTGACTGTGGTTAATTGTGTTGAGTTGGTTATTATTTTATATATGAAGGAATTCTTATCGGCATTTTTAACAGTTTATCATGCTTGTAAAATGGATTATGTAAAAATTGTAGTTATCTTCACTGGTCACTGGTGTAATTTTAACAGCTTGTTATAGGTCAGTAATGTGATAGTTGTGTGTGATGATGATTTGGTTGACTGTTGCTGAAGGTGACCTGAACACATCTGTACATTTGGTTTAATCCATATTATTTTACAGAATTTTTTTTTTTTGGTTTTGTTATATTTATTTGTAAATATCTATTCCCTAAGTCAGTCAGCACTGGCTTTCCATTGGAAGACTGTGAAATAATCTTGCATTTAAAATAAAGCGATTTTAAAGGGCATCTGATCTGATTCATTGCGTTGGAATTGAGGTGTCTTCAGTCCTGGCGTGATAAGACAGGATTACAGCAAGAAGCAATATATCAAACAATACAGGACTCGATGATAACAAAAAAAAACTTTTGTGTTCAGTCTCCCCAAGAAACTTTGCGAATGCATTAGTTTTGCAACGAACGCAACATTTCATGCTTTTGCGAGTGAACGCAAAGTTTCTCAGGAGAGCCCAGTCCTTTTGAGAGAAGACACAAAAGTTTTGTGAGAACGCAAAGGCATTGAAATATTTATGGGCTCCATAGAAAGGCCTTTAACTCGTGTTTTCATGACATGGGTGATGCTTTAGAACAGTGTTTCTCAACCAGGGGTCCGTGGACCCCTAGTGGTCCTTGACGTAAGGCCAGGGGGTCCGTATAAAGTATGAATTTTTGTATAAATTTTGTATATTTTGACATGACATGTTCCCATGAAAGAAAAATGGCCAAAATACTGGACAAGTCAACTAACTTGAATAATACTTGACTGCATTTGGTCCTCACAAAGACACAAATGATACATAGATGAGTAAATTTTGTTCTGGGGGTCCTTGAGGATGGTTCTGAATTGGACTGGGGTCCAGTACACCAAAAGGTTGAGATTCACTGCTTTAGAACATGTTCAGTGGGTTCATACACTATATGGTTCATAATTCCCTTTTTATATATCTCCAAATATTTACAGCGTAACTCTGTTGACCTGAACTATACTTACCAAGGTAAATGGCTTGTCATTGTCATTTAAAACATTAACATTTATGGTTTATTATTAAAGTCTTTTTATAGCACGATGTGTTGTTGAAAGTTGAAAATCAACGCCTTGGTCAGCCCTTAAAGTTCTGATTCAAACACCAGCTCCTGAGTCTTACTCCTTTAGATCTGTTTTCATTCCCCTTTAAGCGTTGAGCATTGCATTCCTCACACTGAATTACTTTCTTTCAGCCTTTTATCCCTCTGTTCCAGCATTTTGTCTGTTCTTCTCGTCTCAGTCATGTACTCTGGTTCCCATGTGTTCATGGCAGACAGCTTCACTCCATCTGTACTGGCCATGGTTGGACAGAAACAGGCAAAGAATACTGTAGTAGTAGGCTAGATGAAATCTCAATAAGCATCCAGTATCCAAGGCTCTGCATTCCTTATATCTGTTTCAGACTTTTGAATGGAGAGACGTATATATGTATGTATGTATGTATGTATGCATGTATGTATAGTTGCACAGTCAATAAATGCTACTGAATGTTTGTTGCAAGTCTACAGTTCTGAACTTGCTGGAAATGTCTTCAATACTCAGAAACAAAAGGCCCTCATGATATGTTTTGTACTCTTTTCAGACCGATATCTTAAATCCAGAATCCTATGTCTGTATGGAGTTTGTAAAAGACATAGGTGGGACTGCAGATATGAACTGGATAGGCGGAAAGAATGTTAAAGACTTGGCTGAAGGAATGTAAGCTGTGATTCTGCAGCATTCTTCATTGTCAGCATCTCCAGTTACTGCCATAGATTGAGCATTTGACATGAAGGATTTAATTGGACATGATTTGCAAGCATGGTCTTGTAAATGCAGGGTGTTTCTGGCAAATGTCTTGTTTTCTGCAATCTCCCATAAATCTGATGTGGTGATAGATGAAATGAAGCCTGCGAGGTGAAAGCTGAGAGCTCTGATGGTGGTCCTGAAGAATGGCCAGAAGGTTGCAAGCAAAGGTGTTGAAAAGAAAAGATGTTAAAACTTCCAGCCTCTCTTGGATACCACTCACATTATAGCATAACTATAATGTTATGATTGATGTCATAACATTATAGTGCAAAATATTAAACCAAGTGGCATTTATTTTTAGGACCTCAAGTGTACTTTTCAGGCAAAACGTTTCCCAAAAACAAGTCTGACAGATTATAAAACAGATATTCAGCATCAAGAATATAACATTTTCAAGAATATGTAACCTATTCTATGCAATGAACGACTCTGCTACGTCACCTGTATGAACTTAAGGAGAACTGACAATTACTAAAAATCAGCTTCATACCACTTTGTTTACAAGTCATTGAAAATTGCTCAGAAAAGTGAAGCTAGTTGTAAAAAATACAATGAAATCCATCCATACAAAAAAAAAAAAATTGAGACATCAACAGTTTTGGGAAAAAAAATGTGTGCCAAGGTGTCCTTGCTAGGTGTATGTCAGTAACTTGAAAAGCCCCCATATTATTATGTAAATAATAAAAAAAGTCCATTAATTAAACTTTTTTTATAGCCATTGTTGCTATTATGACATCCCTTTTCTTTTTCAAAAAGTTTGTCTTGCAGTTGTACAGTTTCCCATATATTAGCAAACATTTACATTTATTTCCTGTAATACTATATTGGAATATGCATGTTTGTCATATACATGCTAAACTAGATTCATGTTTTAATTTATCAGTAAATGCTCATTGTTCAGGTGCTACCTTTACCGTTTTGCATAAAGAGGTATACAATGTACAACACATTTATACCTATCCATTGTTTAACCCTTCACCTGCACACACTAACGAAAACAAGACAAAGGGTCTCAGGATTAAGTAAGAATGTTTATGAGCACTGTCAGAAACAAGGAAGAGTGTGTACTAGTAAGGTATTTGTATTACTAAATTTCACAGAAGACTTAGCAAACACAAACAAAACAAAACAAATGGCCACCATGAAGACAAATTCATATATTGATTCTGAAGCCTGACGCTGTTATTCGTGTTACATTAAATTGTCACAAATGCCATCATCAAGCATGTAACATTTCAAACAAGCATTGACGCCTGCTACTGTTTGCATCACGTTCTGACCCCTTTAGCTAAACGCCACATGTAAACCAACACTGCAGACCTCCCCCATGAGCTGTCCGGTAGGGGTAACTCTAACCAAATTTACCCCCTCTTAGCAGCCTGTCTTGGGTTCCCCATAGCGAGATCCCCGGCTGCAAATTACCAGCAGCAAACCGATAGGTCCACATACACCGCATCACCCAAATTAGAAAGCAGCAGAAAGGTATGCACTCCCCCAGTAGTCACCTTCTGAATCACACACACACACGCGCGCTAGTTTGTTAGGTACATTACATAAGTAATCACTACAATACCCAGTGGGAAAATGCTTGCGCATACAAACCAATAAATAACACTTGGACAAAAAGCCCTGTGTTCACCTGTGGTCGCCCTTGCATTCCTGCACACAAAAGCAAAACAAACAGCACACAAACCAACCCACACATGCTCCGATATGCCCTCCAAGAGGAGGTGGCAAAGACAGAACACTGAAAAGATCTTTTTATTGGGGCAATCCCTCAAGCACACAGAATCCCTCCTTTTCTTCCGTCCCTCTTTGAGTCTCTCACTCCTTCCTTCCCTCCCTCCCTTTCCTCCCTGACTGTATAAATAAGTCCGAGTGTAATGTGCGTGGACTCAGAGAAACTGCCTCCAAACCTGAAGACACAAACTGTGGGATCACAGACATCAAAGCGAGACATCAACCACCAATCAAAGTGAGACGCCCCAATCAGCCCCTCAAAGGCAACCCTTTACACAACCGAGAGAAGGTCAGTGGGAACGGAAGATTGAATAGGCTCAGGTGAGAGGTCATTAGTGGAATGCCAGTGAAGTGAGCGGCTCCGGTTACACTTGTGAGGTAAAAGGGAAAGAACAGATTAGTGCCGGAGCTAAAGAGGACAAGGCAGACAAGTGATCCACAAAAAGAGTAGATTCACCTCTGCGTAAACCTACTTCCTGGAGGTAGAGCATCAGATAAAGACAGAAAGAAGTTTCTAGGTATCTGTGGTCCACCTCAACATGTGGTTTTTGGCTGTGTTGTGGGCTTCCTGCCTGCTGATGGGCACCCATGCTCAAAGCAGCACTAGTTTTCGTCGGGCGAATGCCGGCAATGGTCGTTGCCAGTACACCTTCACGGTGAACAGCCCTACAGAGGCCAGTTGTCCATCACCAGGTTCAAGTCCCGAGATGGAGGCCCTGAAATCTCGCCTGGGGCTGCTAGAGGCACTGGTTGCCCGCCTCGTAGGAGGGGACGCCTTGTCAGAGTCATCCCAGGGCTCTGGATCTCAGTCAGGCCTCCAGGATGCATACAACCAGGTGATGGGGGAGAATGCCCAGCTCCAGAGAGAGAAGCAAAGACTGGACAGACAGGTTCAGGACCTGCAGCAGAGGATGGAAGAGCTCCGCCAGGAGGCTGAGAGGTTGAGGAGCAGACCCTGCATGCAACAACCTCCTCCAAGAGTGCCGCAAAATGACAACAGCTTCAGACCAGGATCAGGTGAGTACTGACAACCAAGCAATTTGTTAAGATTCATCTCACACCAAATTGTCTTTTGGCAAAGGTTAGCCAAATGTTCACTACCTTATATAGCTGCGGTGTGCATTCCTAGAAAAAATTAACAAAATTTGTACAAAATAAGTACAAGAACTTGTCAAGGGGCAGTACCCTCAAAGGGGCAACTTTGTGCCTTATTACACAGTGGTAACTTAAGGGTACATATTAGTACTCTAAGATGCTAAAATGTATTCTTTGGGGGAAAATAAGGTACAGAGGTGTCCCTTTGAGGGTATTGTCCCAGTGACAAGCTGTCGTACCCATAAAGATTCCAATTCTGACAAAGTGTGAAAGATTTCCAATACCTATTTTTGTTTTGTCAATATACAGTCCAATACTGTTAATGATTGAAACCATCTGTATGATGTAGTTTTGTGAACGTATTTTTGTTTTATAACTAGTAATCTAACTTTTGTGGTTACTAAAATTTTAAAACAACTGAGCCGTGACAAGTAAACAGGTGTGGTGTCTGGGAAGGCAGAGGGTGTAAGCAAATTGGCATGCTAGGGTCACTGGCACCATAGAAAAGACTCATAACGGTTTATGTGTACATTTCCATAGTTATACCTGCCTGGAAGTGTGAGTCATATTTCGGGTGGTATGGGTGAGCAGGTCATTGTGTTCATTTCAAAGCAGGAGGGAACAGTATAGATAGAGCAGAGTTGAACTAAGTGCCTCCCTGTCATTGTAAGAGCAGGGCAAGAGAAGCGAGAGACTGAGAGAGACATGAGGGTGTTGGGGGCAAGCTTCTAAAGCAGTAAAACATAAGTACTGTGCTAATACTCAGCAATAAACTCTGCTCCCAGCAGACCGCTGACGGATGCTGCGTGAGGAGGGGTGGAGGTCAGGGGTAACTGATCCCTACTGGGGTTGTTAGTGTAAGTGTTGGTACCTTAAAACGGTTAAACTTTACTGACATATTCTTTTAACAAAAATAATATTTAAGCAAGCAACCAAGTTGCTATTCTGTACTATAGCATGATGTAGAGTAGGATACCACAGTTCTATAAACAAAGTTAATATTGAGCAACTTACATGTTAGACACAATTTGGTCATTTTTTCCCAAATGAATTGTATTTTTTAAAGGTTTTTCTCCCCACCAGCTTCTCTTTTCCATGTTCTGCCATATTTGACATCTGTTCTGCTTCTCACACTGACACCGGTGATCAGCACCACAGCTCCTCACATCTGCACCATACATCATGTAAAAAAAAAAACAACACATGAAAAATTAAGACAGTGTTTAATAAGACAGAGGACAGAAGCAATGGACTGTGGAGACCCTCTGTGGAAGACAGATTCCGGCTCTTTGAGATTGAAAAGAACACAGGCCATCTGTCTTGCACATCCTCACCCTCTTGGATTCAGTGTTTTGCTTGTAAGTTCACAGTCCCTTTAGCACCCTAAATATCCTATAGCAAGGTTTAAAGGTGCCCTTAATACTTGTTTATGTTGCTCTGGCTGATGGCAGTCATCTTGGGCTGACACTTAGCAGCGTGAATGTAGCATCATGCAAAAGCAAAGATTTTCAGGTACTGATGCCATTGTAGAAATGCACATTTTAATTTAGTATTAGGTAATGATAACTGCAATCTTTATCTAATGTGAATGTGAATGTCAAAAGTACTATTTATTTCAGTGTAATTTTAATGAGGAAAAATGAACACGCTGAACATGCTGAACATGCAAACAGTCCTTGCAATAAAAAAATATAAAAAAAGATCAGGAACCTTGTGCCATTTGGCCATATGGATGTTGTCAGTGTCACCTCATTGAGTACGAACATACAAATGTGTAATCTTGATGTCTTGCCTCTGGAGATTGAACTGTTTTGGAAATCTTCACTCAGATGTTTTAAGTGAAAGCAATTCTCATTTAGAATTATAAGTGTTGGCATCTGCTTCACAGACTAGAGTTGCAAAACCCAATTTAAACAATACAAAAAAAAAAAACCCTCCAAAGTCTTCAAGATGTTAGATGGGAAGGCTCTTGCAAATAAAGTAGCCTGCAACACGCTACCAGCTGGTCCAGAGGGTTCTTGAAGATCTGCTTGATCTCTCCGGGAACCATTAGGCACGTTATACAGATAAGCACAAACACCTGCAAACAAACCTTCGGAATTACATGCTTTTGTTGTCTAGTAGTGACGCATAGATCCTGTGTCCATGAGCATGTGTTGATTGTAGGGATAAAGGCTGCAATCTTTATCTAATGTGAATGTGAATGTCAAAAGTACTATTTATTTCAGTGTAATTTTAATTAGGAAAAATGAACACGCTGAACATGCTGAACATGCAAACAGTCCTTGCAATAAAAAAAATTAAAAAAAGATCAGGAACCTTGTGCCATTTGGCCATATGGATGTTGTCAGTGTCACCTCATTGAGTACGAACATACAAATGTGTAATCTTGATGTCTTGCCTCTGGAGATTGAACTGTTTTGGAAATCTTCACTCAGATGTTTTAAGTGAAAGCAATTCTCATTTAGAATTATAAGTGTTGGCATCTGCTTCACAGACTAGAGTTGCAAAACCCAATTTAAACAATACAAAAAAAAAAAACCCTCCAAAGTCTTCAAGATGTTAGATGGGAAGGCTCTTGCAAATAAAGTAGCCTGCAACACGCTACCAGCTGGTCCAGAGGGTTCTTGAAGATCTGCTTGATCTCTCCGGGAACCATTAGGCACGTTATACAGATAAGCACAAACACCTGCAAACAAACCTTAGGAATTACATGCTTTTGTTGTCTAGTAGTGACGCATAGATCCTGTGTCCATGAGCATGTGTTGATTATAGGGATAAAGGACAGTAACTACAGACCCTCCCACTGCAGGTCTGAGCAGGCTATCATCGGCAGAAGCACCAGTCGGAGTCCTTTTTAACTCTTGTCACAGCAATCAATCAAAGTCAGCTTCCAGATGTTCATATCTCAAAGTGTAACATTATAAAAGCCTGTAAACATGTTAGCACATGATCAGACAATGATAATGTGGCACCATAGTTTGTCATAGGGCTTAACAGAAGTCATTTAGTCCTTGGGCAATTAAGTGTCATAAAATGAAAGGAGTGGGGATAATGTGAGTTGTTCAGGTCCTCTCTGCATTTTTATTGGGACCAAACAAAACTATACAAATTTCCAACAAGGTTTTCTCAACCATCTTCCACTGTTTGGTATTTCTTCATCAGAAAATGACACAAGTTGGCTTTGCTTTTGTTTGAGATTGCTAACCAGGGTGTGTGAATACGCACCCTGCTGTGCACGTCTGAGTTTCGGATGTGTAATGGGAGGTCTGGAGTCTTTCAGGCTCTGGGACAGCTGGGAATCTACTCAGGGCTGTTTATTTCCTTCTGTTAGATTCCTAACTGTCAGTAGAGCTGCCAGTCCCCCAAAACCATGCAACATACCTCTCTCATGCAACTCAGGATCAATACCAAGCCCTACTCAACTTGTTTAGATTTCTGTCATGGCACTCTGGGATACTGGTGGATCTCAGCTGAGAGTCGATTATCTCTTTTTGACCATGCACCAAGAGCTTGTAACACTCCAAAGAGAAAGGAAAAATTGAAATCGCATCATATGACCCCTTTAACATTATCTGGTTACTCTAGACTGCAATTAAGGGACTGTAAACATCCCCAGACCATAACAGCATCATGTGCCTTTGCCTTTTAGGACCTGCACTCTCCCACCTGGTATCAAGGCCTGTGAATACACGAGGAGACAAAAGCAGTTTAAGAGGTATGGGGTAACAAGGGTATATTTACACTAGCAGAAAACAAACTGCACCATCATAATAGATGAATCCACGTCCATTTTGCACAATGGAAATGGTCTTCCAAACAAGAGTTCTTTGATATTCTGACTGCAATGTCATGGTCTCTAGTTGCCATTCTTATAGTGAAGGCTTGACAAATGTAAACCTTCACAAGCACGTCTCAATCCCGAGTATGTGAATTCCTGTCCTCATGCTCTCCTAGATTCTGCATGGCATTACAAGAATCCTGGATACCAGGAGCTGACGGCGGTAGTCACTGAGGTTTCTGCCCCAAATCTGGAAGGTCCAACGGACATCTCAGGTGAGAGTCACACCCAAACTCTAGCCTTTCACTCAAAAGTGACAATCTAGTAAATATCTTCCGATACTGTCAAAGAATGCTGATATATATATATAAATACATCATGCTCCTACATCTCAGCTGCCTGAAAAAATGACACCATGCACATAGTATTCATTCCTGCTGACAGCACTAACACAAATACTGCTATTTTTACCAATTCATTTGCGTCTAAAATAATCTAGTTTATAAAAGGAGCTGTGTATGTTTACGAAGGCGCCAAAATGGTAATGTGAATCACTTGATAGGACCATGTTTCTAAACAAAGACATCAAGGTTCGGGTTGTTCCCAGGAAGTCCTTTGAATTCTGCCAACCATCCCTTCCCCCAGTACCTCTCTCTTACAGGGTATTTTAGGAAAGGGTAAGTTATGCTTCTAATCTTTTACACTCAAAGGAATGATAGGACAAGGTGTCCTCTCTTCCACCTTTAGCCGTATTTCGCAGATTTTGGTTCAACGGGGTCTCCTTTCAACCCGTCACTGGCTCCATGTGCAATCTGAAATTGATGTTTCCTCAAAATCATTTGGTTTTCCAACAATTGTCCAATCTCTTGATTTTTCAGGCTGTGGTGATCTGGTGTGGGTCCAGGAGCCTGAGGTGCACCGCAAGGCTGACAGCATTGCTGGTAAATACGGTGTCTGGATGCAAGACCCAGAAGCTAAAGAACCTTATGGTCTAGAGATGGTATGGCGCATTGATGCCATAGGGTCTGAAGTTCGTCAACTCTTCGGGTATGAAAACATGGACCAGCTGTCACGGGGCTTTCCCACTAAAGTCCTCCTCTTGCCAGAATCTATGGAGAGCACGGGTGCCACAATGTACAGAGGCTCCTTGTACTACCAACGAAGACTCAGCCGCACCCTTCTAAGATACGATCTACAATCAGAGAGCATTGCTGCCCGCCGTGATCTTCCCCATGCTGGCTTTCATGGTCAGTTCCCCTACTCCTGGGGAGGCTACACAGACATTGACCTGGCAGTAGATGAGAATGGTCTATGGGCCATATACAGCACCAACAAAGCCAAGGGTGCTATTATGATCTCCCAGCTGGACCCTCACAACCTGGAGGTGAAGGGCACCTGGGAGACTAAAATCCGCAAGACATCCGTGGCCAATGCTTTTATGATCTGTGGCAATCTGTATACGGTAGCTAGTTACACCTTGCCAAACACCACCATAAATTACATGTATGACACTGCAACCAACCAGGATAAATCGATCTCAGTGCCGTTCAAAAACCGCTATCGCTACAACAGCATGGTAGACTATAACCCAGCACAGAGAAAGCTATATGCTTGGGATAACTATTACATGGTATCTTATAATGTGAGACTAGGCAAGCAGGAGTAAAGTGAAGACATCAGCATAAATTTCCATATCACCCAGTTTATAGACTCGTTTTGTAATGTTTTAATATTAACATCCAGAGGAACAGCTATTGTTGGATTTACTGGAATTCAAAGACAATCATAGACAACTGGACAAGAATCAAGTATAAGTATGCTGATGACATTAATAA